ATTAACGCCTGTAGGAATGAAACCCTTTTCTAACGTACGTAAGTATAATATTGACAATTTATTATACGATAGTTTACAGTGAATCTATTTTTATCAGACTAGACAAAATGACTGCTTGAGGTATATCTAATCTATAGGCAAATAAGAAAACGACGAATCGATAAATTTTATTCTTTAGACATCCATAATAAAAGTTGATTTAATTTGTTTTTATATGCAAATGTGAATTATAAATTAGAATAATTTTGTATAATAAAAGTTTCAAAATCAAAACTTAACTTTCAATGTTAACTAATATAATATTTTATCTTTACTTTAATCTACATCGCTAAATTTGATATTCCGTGTTAAGTATAATTTAGAATATAAAATGATTAAAGTTTAGATCATGTTTAAAATAAAAATAATACTATTACAAATTTTTTACTCAATTCATTCTATTTCTCATATTATTTCATATTTTTTTATTATTCAAACGATTAAAATTTTGCAGATCAATAAAATTATCCTAAGTGGCACGTTTTCGTGAGTTTAGGTTTTCTTGTAATACTTGAGAATATAAGCTAAGTCCTTTCACTTCAAAAATAGTTACGAATTGACACCCATTTCGGACAAATCATTTCCTTCCTTTTCCCTCTTTCATGTCTTCCGATTATATTCCCACGTGATTTATCGCACCAATGCATTTCGATTTCTACTATCACGATTCGATATATAATATTATCTTTTACCATCAAAAGAATTATTGACTCGTTTCGATAGATGACCTCTAAGTATCTTCGTATTAAAAACATTTTTCTTTTTTTCTTCTCTCTCTCTCTCTCTCTGTCTCTCTTTCTTTATATTCATACAATATATCGATCGATCTATCGAAACTATACATGCTTTAGTACTACCACTTTGTTGTTGTATTTGATTTACGTAATGGAAGAACACTTTTACGTAACCAAGATGTATGCAATGTAATTCATTTTCCTTTAAAATTATTCTTTCGATCTTCCTACCCTTTCCCTTACCCTTACCCTTATTTAGTCCCATAAAAATTCTTAGAAATTCAATCGATTAAATTATATTTGTCGTACTTCAATATCGTACACAATTTTTCCATAATAAACCATAAAGTGCTTTTATTAATTGTATGTATGGAATTTTAACACACGACTGGGGTTCACGTAATATTATTTTTCATTCTTTTTCTTTTTTTTTTTTTTCTTTTCTATTTGGATATTCCATGATGGACAAATGTATCGAACAAATTAATTAGACTTAATGGTATGTGAATATTCAGAGAATGAAAGAATAAGAGAGAATGTATATATTATACATATATAAATGAGATTAATAATATATTGATTACAGTCATTAAATATCTCATGACAACTAAAGACATTAATAAATTTTTCACCATGAAATTTTGATTATTGATTATTTCAATTTAATTAATAATTATTAAACGATAACAAAATGTACAGAAGCGACAAATAAATATAATTTATTTATATCAATGAATTTATTTTAACCAATGAAAAAGATAATACATTTTTATAAATTATTATAAAATGTATTATCGTACTTTGGTGAAAATATTATATCGATATATTTCATTTTTACTTAGATCTTTTTTTATAGTTTAACAAAAAAAAAAAGAACCAAAAATATAAAAGAAAATTGTTCGTCGAAATATTGAAAAAAAAATATATGATATATCGTTTGAAGGAAATATACGATTCTAGGAAAAATTTATCTCGAAAAGTTTGAAGTGTTACGAGCCAAAGTTATAGGTAGGTAACAGATGTTACTATTCGTAGGATTTAAAAATCATACTGATCTTCATAAAAAAAAAAGTATAATAATAGAATTTTAAAACGATTCTCCAGGAAATTGTTTCACATCAATTTTAAATCATTTTCAAATTATATTTTCTTTCTCACGATCAATAACACCGGTTGTTAGAATCATACTAATCAAAGAATCGTTAAAATAGAGATCAATGATTTATCGAATTATAACCAATTTGAAATCCGTAAAATTCCATATAAATTGAGCACGAGTTAGTAATAACGCAAATCGTATTAAAATTTGATCAATTGAAATCCCACTTGATATGAACGAGTGGTAGCTCATTTTGTTAATTTCGCAATCGTTAGATAAAGAAATTTTATTCCCCTATCTGATTAATTATTAAATTGTATCATCCATCCCACGTACGAATCTTTCTTCTTTTATTTATCACATTTGTTCTTTTTTTTTTTTGCTTTCTTTCTTTCTTTCTTTCTTTCTTTCTTTCTCTACCAAATGCATTTAACCTTGTGCTCTTTCTTTCATTTGTAAGAGAAGATCTTAACTAGATTTTTTTCCATTATCCTCGAGATTTATGGGTGACCGGTAGGACGACGTCTAATGTACGATGGATATTTCAAAATACGAAGCCATGACCTGCATTCCGATTTTCTCTTTCCCTTCTCTCTCTCTCTCTCTCTCTCTCTCTCTCTCTCTCTCTCTTATTCTCATTCTCTCACAATTCGTCCATCTCAACTCGTTTACGTCGTAGTAGAAATTCCCCTAACCGATCGACAGGAAACTTTTCACTGCACATGGCAATATCGCTGGAAACGTTTTCGAGTAAGATAAACAACAACAACAACACCACCATTACCAAGAAGAAGAAGAAGAACATAACAAACTACAGAATATGAATTACAGTAATACCGAATTTTTTGGAAGAAAGGGATGATAAATTAGGAGTAACTCGAACACGTAGAAAATAAGTCATAGTCAAAGTCTTCATTACAAGCTCACGTTGTTCATCGTCATCGTTATTTTTAAGTAACTCACGTACGTTCTGTGTATAAAATTACAACAAAAATTCGCCTTAACCCACAAAACAAATTATTGTTAAATACGTTGTTTCCTTGTTACGAACAAATTGGCACGAATAAACGAACATAACCGCGATAATATAGAATAAATACCACAACTGGGATTTAGCTTTTACCCACGTACAATGCACGGAACGGGACGTACGTCAAAAGTAATTAAACTACACTCGTGCCTAATGGCAAGCCCAGATAACCCTGCTAGGTTCGCGAAGCAAATGGCGGATCTGCTGATACGTTTCTCAAATGTGAAAACGTTACAAGCAAACGAATACTAAGATTTCTAACTCGATTCAAATCGTTAATTTAACAAAGTAGAATAACTTTAACTTAACATTGAGTTGATTTTATATTCGATACAAATACAAATAATCATTCTAATGAAATTTGATAATTATCTGCTTTTTCATCTTCTTTCTTTTATTTTATCTTTTTTTTTTCTTATTCTCTTAACATCCCTTCAATCGATCGCGGTTTAGGAAGAGGATAACCGGAGAATTTTGGGTAAAACGTAATTTATCGGTTTCCTACCTTATCCTCGTGGAATTCTACGAAGGGGGTGTGGGGTGGGGGTTGAATCATATACGAGGAATATAAGATAAACGTTATATACTTTAGGTTGAAATATTTCTGCCCGCGAATTTCTCGTCCAATTTCAAAGTATCTTATCTTATCTCGACTAACAGGAGTTTACCTAAGTTCGAATTATTTCTAATCAAATAGTATAATGTAATTGTCTGGTTTTCTTCGAGTATAGGAACAATTAAAATCAACCCTTTACGTATTGTGATCTATCCCCTGTCACAAATGGTTAACCCTATTACATGAAAAGCTTCATAGTACAATTGAAGCATTCATTTTACCTCGACCTAATCTAAGCATGCATGCATGCATGCATGCATGCATACATACATACATAGATACATGCATGCATGCAACTATGTTGTTTACCTATGCTTGGTGATCCTTCTATCTCTCTCTTTACTTGTAAACATCGTGCGGTTACACAACACGTAGCAATTAAGGTTTTAAGTTCTTTATCTATCCTTAACAATTCATAGTTTTCACAACAAAGTTGAAAAAAAAGAATCGACTACGATTTCAATCAGAAAAGAAAAATAAGAACTCGTGTTTTAGTAGCTCGGGAATGATTTATCGAGAAATCCACTTTAATGAGAAAAAAAGAAAAAGAAAAAGAAAAAAAGATAGAATTCTTTCTTCACAATTTTTTATCTACTAAGTTTGTTGATATATGAACGAGAGAACAAGTAGTTCTCTCACTTTACTTAGGCCATTTGCATTCACCTTGCATTTTATCTCAACCCTTTTTCTTTCTTCTACTTTTCTCACCTCACCACTTTCTACAACCTCAATCTCCCCTCATTTTATCCGGTTTTCTACCCAAAAATCGTGGTTTAATAGCCCACCCATTCGCCAACTACGAATGACAAACGAGTTGAAAGAAAAAATAACAAACTCGGCAATATATTCGCCTAACTCATCAGAATGAAAATGCCACAGTGAATTAATCGACCATGACATTTCAACGTTTGACCTATTCTCAATTTTTAGTTCAACAGCACATCCCCGTTGTTATTCTTCTTTCGTTAAGAAGTTGTTAAAGTAAGTTATAACAAAACGTATTATTAAGAAATATAAAAAAAAGTCGAACACACGTTTGTTTAACTCGTGTAAAACTGACGATTGGATATTACAAAGTTGAAATCGATAAATCTTATTGTTAGTTTTAGAAAAATACCTGTCGATCGATCGTTAACCCAATGTGTGTTCTTATCATTTTTCTTCAAAAGCTTTAAAAGTTTAGACCGCTTTATCATAACTGTCGATTATGACCAAACGAATGTTCTAACTTTGTAGAAAATTCAATATATATATATATAATATAATTTATATAAAGTTCATACATAGAAAAATCGAATGGGTTATTATTATGATTAAAATATCGATTAACGATATAACTTATATGTTAGATAGGAATTATGGTTTAATAATATTTCAAATGCTTTCTAATAAATCATGAGTCAATTCTCTCTTGTGTATCCAGATAATCGAGATTGCAAAGGGTTGAAGGGGGAGAGATGATGATATTGGTAAAAGCATTACCTGAGATCGTTAGCTCGATGCATTCTCATGCCACGCGTTGGATGCCTCGGGGGTGGAGTACACCTGCAGTCACAATGCATGACGCAAAGGACTACACTAGTTGCTAGAGTTACGACCAAGGGTGCTGCGAATAGTTGAATGATCGTAGCTACCTGCTCCTCTCTGTTATACGATGCCATCACGATGCTACCGTTAACGCGACTGTAATAACACGGAAACTTAGCACCTTCGTAGCCCATGTCACGAGTAAAATTCTCGCAATCTACGACAGGTGGATAACCGCAGCCTTTGATATTAACGAGTAGTACCGCTTCGATGTCGCCGACATTCGTTGGTGCTGTGAATGAAAAACAAACAAACAAATAAAACTGTAGATCAAGAATTTAACGTAAGATTTCGTGCAGGTATTCATAATTTAACAATTTCATTTATCTCACGTGCGCACACGAACTATCTACGCGTGCGCATCGATAAGTACTAACTTGTTGAGTTACTTAATATAAAAAAAAGGGGATTAAAATATGATGGTTCTTACCAGGGACAGAATCAGCGGTAGACGTGGTTGTGGTGGTGGTGGTAATTGTCGTAGAAGGCCCGTTAATTTCCGTATCGTTTTTCATACTATCGTTGTTCCAAGGTGAATACGTTACGTATATATGAGTACACCTATAAACGTCACTGGTACAACCCTCCCGACAAGAACTCCATGTGCAATTGAAAAGACCCCAAAGTTCCTCCCTTCTAGAAGTAGTACATATAACCGGTTCTGGTGAAAAATCAGCGGCTAGGGTACTGATAGCCGGATCAACGTAAAGCGGTACCAGGAAGAGGAGGGCGGCTCCGCCCGAGGTAGCGACGAAGGCCAACGCCGAGGTCGCGTAAAAATTAAGCCGCTGACGGCAGGTGCGCCGTGGCGGTCGGCGCCTAGCAGCGCCAAATCCTAACTCCAACAGTTTGCGACGACGTAATTCTCCTTCTTTGGATTCGCGCGGTTCGTTTTTTTTCTTGTAACGTTCCTGCCTATGATGATGATGRCTATGATGATGATGATGATGATAGTGGTGATGATGGCGGTCGTTACCACTTCCTCCACCGCCTCCACCTCCTCCACCACCACCGTCCCCGAGATCCCCACCTGCGCTCGAACTGCCAACACTCTGTTGACCACCGTGATAACGACGATGATGATGATGATAATCGTTCTGGCACTGACACTGGCAATGGCAGTGACAGTGCCCACAGCTCGCCTCCAACAGAAGATCCGAGCTGCTACCCCGCATCACCCACCCGCGGCTCTCAAAGAGGCGCCAACCTGATCCACCTCGTCCTACTCGTTCCTTCGAACCCCCTTCTCGTCGTTGTCCTATTGGCCAACCCCAAACAACTTTCTGATACTCGCCACGACTCGATGCCGCGATTCCCTCCTCTTAAATTCTTTCTGCTAGGACTCATCGAGTGTCCTCCTCGATTACCAGACCACCACTACCGATCTTATCTTCTTCTTCTTCTTCTTCTTCTTCTTCTTCTTCTTCTTCTGCCCTTCCTCCCTTCCTTCCTTCCTTCCTTACTCTCGTTTGTATTATCTTTTTCTTTTAAATATAATTTCTACAAACGATATTATCGATCATAATCTCTCAAGGATTACTATTACAAGATGCTCGTTTAAACGAGAGGAACTATGAAACATTGTGAAATGGATCATCGATCTGTTTGATCTATTACCACGAGTATTAATTCTCTTGGAATCGTTATCTCTTTGAATGATCCGATTTCATCTCAACCGTACTAGGTAACAACAGAATTCGATATTTTTAAATCCACGACAACAACAGGCGCACGTTGGTGTGCGTTCAACCGCACCGGGAGCTTTACGAATCGAATACGTGAATCGTTGCTAAGCCGATCGCATGAGTTAGGCACCTCACTGGGATTCCTCCTCTTACTAATTTAACGGAATGTTCATACCTCACTGAGATTCGATTTACTAACAGAAGGAATTCGTTGATTTGATGATCATTACTATCTTCGAAATTCCATTATATAAACATATATATCTTGGACTTTTTTTTTTTCTTTTTTCTTTTTAGATTAAATATCGTTGTCTCTCGTAAGGATAGGCCTCAGAAGGAGCAAAAAAAAAAGAGTAAACTTCCCCCACGGTAACTCTCGTTGAAAATCTTCATTAATGATACAAAGAGGGTCAGAGTCGTCGTATTTTCCTTTTTTTTTTTTCTCTTAGGGCCAGAGATATAAAACTCGAGTCAACTAACTTGGTCGTTTGCCTTCAAATTCACGATGAATATCGTTCTAAATTAATTACTATCTTCTCTCCCTTTAAAAAAAAAAAGATATATTTATATCATATATCTAGCTAGTAGATAATACTATCTGTCAGGAATGTCTTTTATCAAAATGATTCTTCCTATTTATTTATACATGCAAATATAAAGAAGTAGTAGTAGTTGTAGCCTTCGTAACAGGATTACCAAATCCTTCTTCTTCTTCTTCTTCTTCTTCACTCTCTCTCTTTTGATATTTGATTCTATCAGTCTAGAATTACTTATTTCATTTTTTATCTATCTTATCCTTTCCACTTACACAGATTATTTTTTCCTGTATATATACAATCTTCCTTGTTGTGTTTGTTGAAATTTTCCAAGATGTCCCGCCTTTTTTTTTTCTATCAGTTGTCTTCTCAAGAATTTGTCATTGTAGATCAAAACAGATGACCATTGAGAGAGAAAGAGATTAGGCAGAAATAAAGAAGGCAAAGTTAGATAGATAGATTCAAAGTACGTGTGTCTATCCTGTGTATATTAGAGAGAGAGAGAGATAGACATAGACAGATAGAAAGTGAATAGGAGAATATTGAATCACGCGTTAGAACGACGTTATCCTACGATCGATCCTTTTGCACGAACCACCTGTACAGATGTATATCCACGAGAGTAGTTTTCTCTCTTCTCAGTCGCGCGCTTTGTCAGTACGCGTGTATACTACTCTCCCTTACATGAGAAAAGGGATGGATGGACAAGGAATGACATAGACAAAGATAGAAAGACAGAAAGACAAAGAGATAGAGAAAAAGGAAAGAAAGAAATAGTTGAGATCAAAATTAACAACAACTAGAGATTGAAAATATATCAACAATAAATTTTGGATTGGTCAAAAAATATTGTTGAACAAGGATAATGACCGATCAATCCGAGTAGGAAAAATGAAAGAAAATTATTATGCAAAACTGGATTCATATATGTAGGCAAGATTTAATTTGACTTTATACGAGAAGAATGAAAAAAAAGGTGAAGAAGAAAAAAATAAGAGCCGCACTTTTTGTTTCGTTTCTGATGATTATCTTGCGTGTCCCGGCACCATCCGCCTCGCGGACCGCGAGTTAAAGCGCGACTAGTAGTCCTCTATCCCCTAACGTTGTACAAAAGTCCTCTCGATGGGGAAACAGGCTTTCCTCGCGAAACGACAGGGCGGGGTTCAATACGCGCATGACCGACTGCCATACCACCCCCTACAACCCAACCCCTCAACCCCCAGCCCTACCCCCTACTAACCACCCTTATCCTACTCTCTCTCTACGTAACATAACTTCATCGCGGCACCACGGTGCATCCTCCTTGTTTATGCTCTCTCAGCGAGTCCTTCCTTTTCCACCACCACCACCCCCATTTCCAACCACCCTCTTCCTCCCACCACCACCTGACTCTTTCTACCAACGAACCAACCAACCACCCACCAACCAACCCACTCTCCTCAATACCTCTGTGTTCCTACTCTATCTCTATCTTTCTCTCTCTATCTATCTTTGTCTGTCTGCTTTTTTTCTCTTCCTTTCCCTTTTTATCTCTCTTTCTCTCTCTCTCCCCTGTCTTCAGATATTTTACCATCCCCTTCTTCGTATTTTCTCATAGAACCCCCTATTCTTCTACCCTCACGAAACTTCGTCATTATCGTTCTTTAATTTCGTTCGATAATTAAGCTAATTTTTGGTGTTTCTTTTTTATGTTTTATTTTATTTTTATTTATCTCGCTATCCTTTATTCTGCTTGTCCTTAAATGAAATTCGTCCTGTTGGTGCAACAGTTTAATGAATTTCTACGATTTGTTCACGGATATTTTCTTTTCTGGTATTTTTTTTAAATAAATAAGAGAGAGAGAGAGAGAGAGAGAGAGAGTAAATGTTAGTTCGATCATGATGAAATATATTTGTACAAAAAACAGTATACAGTTCTCAATCCTATTCTCTGAGGAATGCTTTTTATCATGTATATAGAAAATTCTCTCGCTTATCGACGCTCCTAAAGAGTGCAAATTCTCTCAGGAGAGAGTAAGAAAGAGAGAGAGAGAGAGAGAGAGAGGGGGAGAAACCTTTCCTGATTATTCACACGGCCGAGTTTTGCAAGAGAACCTAAATAAGTTGCTTGGAATTCCCATGAGTTATAGTTTCTTACTAAAAGGATAGAATGTAATATTACTATCGTCTAACATTCTAAATCATTATTCCTAGTAATATTAAAATTATAAATAATTAATGATCCATACTTTAATTATTTATTATCATTATTATTATTAATGTTATTAAAATTATAATGATTATTTATGACGTTTAAAATAACCCCGTGTTGACTATTGATCATATTACTAGAAGAATATTACAATTGGTTGAAAAATAGTGAGAAAGAATAATATATGTTCGGTGATAAGAATAAATCAATGTCGAGTAAGAAGAGAGAATAGAAAAATGCAAGGTCTGTGTGAAACTATGACGACACGCATGAAAGTGAGAACATCGTCATTCCGACGTTAAATATGACGTCATGTCGAGATGGGAATCAACGTAGAAAAAAAGATAGCTTTAGGAACACGTAACTAGATGTGTACCTATACTAAACTAGAGAACTTCATAGTAACTTCTGACTAAAGTTGGTAATACATAAAGACGTTTATAGGTGACGCTACCGTAGCAACATTGAAGTGAACGTCCAATCATATAACATTCCTTACCATTTATTCATTTGATTACTAACCTATCAGAATGCAACAAAACTAATTGTCCCAGAATGCATTGCACCGGTTAAATTAATAGCCAAAGAGTGGGGGATAAAATGGTCTAGTGGGTTCTGTACATCGTTGCGGATGTCTCTTTGGTCTCGGGCAGCCGAACTTGGTACACGCAATTTCAACGAGGACGACTGCTAGAAGAAGAAGAAGAAGAAGAAGAAGAAGAAGAAGAAGAAGAAGAAGAACAAGAACAAGAACAAGAAGAAGTTCCTCCATTATAACAAGCACGCATCAGCATCAGCAGAAATAGCAGTAGAGGACAAGGGAGGTGAGAAAAAAGGAGGAAGGTTAATTTTGGAAACCAACTTACCTTCCTCTGCTCATCCTCAAAGATTATTACGACGTTAAAAAAATATGGCGGGAACCGAGACAACTAACGTTAAACCAGAAGTATTAAATCCATCATCCGAAACGAACGAAAATAATGCAAGAGAAAGGAATGTTCAAGGCGGAGGTGGAAGTGGTGGAGGAGGTGGCGGAGGAAGTGGTGGAGGCGGTGGAGGAGGAGGAGCAAGTGGAGGTGGAGGAGGTGGTGGCGGCGGCGGAAATAATCGTGGACCTCGTGGTAGAAAAGGAGGAACAAGATTCTCTGGTGGACGACTACCTGTAATTGGTGGATTCAGAAACGATGGACCGGTAAGAAAATCATATTTTTTATCTTTATTCTTTTATATATTTTTTGATATGTATATGTACGCTATTTTCTACCTTATCACCAGCCACGCGGTTGTTCCTGCTTTTCAATAAATCCTCCATTACTATTCATATCTTCATTCCATAAGTTACTCAATTTAGTTTTCTTTATAACTATACATATATCGATTCGTTTTCAGAAAAATTCTATTCAAAATACATATTTTTCTATTAATTATACATATCTATTTTATATACTATTTTTGGATTTTCCAAAGTCTTTGTTTCATGCATATCTTTGTCCCTATTACCTACCGTCTCTAAAGTAATTAACATTTTGTTTCATTTACTCGTACGATATTATTAATAGGTTTATCTTTTTTTCTTTCTTTTTTTCTATATTATTTAAATGCTTTTCAGTTATATATAATTCTTTGAAGTACCTAAAATATTAAAATTTGAATAAAAGGAAAAAAGCGTCAGCGTCGGGTTATCGATCTCTTTTATAGACGCCATTAGTCATCATACATAAAAGGACGGCTCAAAATGGTTGCATATCGACGCGATGCTATTATAGGACGTAGATAGCAGCACTATTCAGTAACACGTGTTTTAAAATGGCTGTATTCCGATGCGATGCGGTTATAGGTGGCAGCACCACTTAGTTCTAGTAGCACGTGTTTCAAATATATAATATATCTTATTTAAATTAAATTATTATTACATATATTTTAATAAATAAATAATTCAATAAAAATATATATTCCAGATAAAAATGAGTGACTCCATGATTGAAGGTGGCTTGGATAATGCAATGTCCGATGGTATGGGAAATATGGGAGGAATGGGAGGTTTAGGTGGTATGGGACCCCGTGGAGGAGGTGGTATGCGTGGCGGTGGTGGAGTAGGAGGAGGTGGTGGACGAGGTGGTGGTGGTGGCGGCGGCGGTGGCGGTGGTGGAGGCAGAGGCGGAGGAGATAGAAATATAGGCAATCGTTCTCAAGATGTAAGTTGTTAAACAAAATATATTTCAATTAAAAATAAGATCTTGTGAACATAGATTTTACAAACAATTTTGTTACAGGATCGATTAATGGAACGAATAATGGCCATAAGTGGTCCAACACATGAATTATCACCACAAGAAACTGCCGAAAAGAAATTCAGTGGACGTAATCGTTTGTACATTGGTAACCTTACTAATGATGTTACTGAAGACGAAATACAAACGATGTTTACACAGTATGGTGAAATATCTGAATTGTTTGTTAACAAGGAAAAAAATTTTGCATTCCTTCGAATGGTAAAAATAACTTATTTAAATTTTTTGTATAGGTTGTGTATTTATATTTTTTAATATGATTATAACAATTACCGTTTGATATAATTATGATACAAACATCTGGCTGCAAATTTTTAAATGATCTTGTTAATCATACATATTTTAATGATTATTTTAATTAAATATGTTCTAATCAAATCAATTTATCTGTTAGGATTATCGTGTTAATGCTGAAAAAGCAAAACATGAATTAGATGGTACAATGCGTAAAGGACGTGCACTTAAAGTACGATTTGCACCTCATTCATCTACAATCAAAGTTAAGAATCTCACTGCATGGATTTCAAATGAATTATTGGAAAGAGCATTCAGCGTATTTGGAGAAATTGAACGTGCTATCGTAATTGTTGATGATAGAGGGAAGTCAACAGGTGAAGGTATCGTTGAGTATTGTAGAAAACCATCAGCTCAACTTGCTTTAAGAAAGTGTACAGAAGGATGTTATTTTCTTACTGCGTAAGTTTATTTTTTATTCATTATTTTATACTATTGTTTATAATGCCCCGAAGCCACGCTTGTGATAATTATTTATTTTATCAGCAAGTGCCATAAAAATTTACTAGGGGAATAGAAAAGTAGATTCCACATATATAGGAACCATGGTATACTTATATTGTTTGTTACTGTGTGCCAAAAAGTGGAATACATTTATTTCTTACTTCATTTTATTTATTTATTTATTTTATTTTATTTTATTTTTTTTTTTTTTAAGTAATCACACATCCAATTGATATATTTTAAAATCCTAAATATAATTTCAGTTCTCTTCGACCAGTTGTCGTGGAACCTTTTGAACAACAAGACGATATCGATGGTTATCCTGACAAAAATTTACCCCGTAAGAATCCAGAATTTTTCAAAGCTCGTGAAATTGGACCAAGATTTGCTCAAATAGGTAGCTTCGAACATGAATATGGTACAAGATGGAAACAATTACACGAATTGTACAAACAAAAAGAAGAAGCATTGAAACGTGAAATGGCAATGGAAGAAGAAAAATTGGAAGCTCAAATGGAGTTTGCAAGATATGAGCATGAAACCGAGTTATTAAGAGAACGTATGTTATTTTTTTATTATTAAAGCTCGTAATAATACATTTGTATTTCATAATTAATTATTTTATAGAATTACGTATGCGAGAAGCTGATAGGGAAAGACAGAAGAGAGAATGGGAGATGAAAGAAAGACAAGCTGAGGAACAAAGAACACGAGAAGAAGAATTAAGGAGACGTCAACAAGAAGAAATGGCAATACGTATCAGAAGACAAGAAGAAGAATTGCATAGGCGACAACAAGAAAATAATTTGTTCATGCAGGTGAGATTTTCAAAACAATTACTGTGAATTAGTTTTCATATTATCATCCTCCATTATTAATACAATTGTTTTTAATTTTATATAAAAATGTAATGTTTAACAATACTTAGGGTACTTCTCTTTTTATTTTTAAGGAGCAAGCGATGAGAGGCGGTGGTGCAGGAGGTGGTGGCGGTGGAGGCCTCGGTGGTGGAAAGAATTATGATTCCGTTAGTAATAGTGATCGCGACGGTTATGGCCAACCTGATGGTAAGTTTTTATCTTTTCATTATAAATTAGGAAGATTAAAAAAAAAAAAAAAGAATCTAAGTTTTTCATTTCATATTTAAACTCAAATTAATCAAATTTCAATCATTTAAATTACATTAATCTCTTCCCACCCACATAAATAATTCATTAAACACAATTAAAAATAACAAAGAAACACACATTGTTTTTTAACATATATATCATCGAATATTATCATTTCTTAAAATTATAATTATTGGACACAGTTATTAAAAATATTTGTTATTATTTCTAGGTGGAAGCAGCATGCCAGTGGTAATGTATCTTTGATCTTTTATATTCTAGTTTTATAAGTTCTTAATCTATAATATCCCTTTACACTTCTATCTTGAAACATATATATGTATATGTATATATATATATATATATATAGTTTCTTCTTCTTCTTTTCTTCTGACATTTTTGTTTCTAGTCTGACGAAAATTATTTTACAAAAAAATTAGTCAATATTTTTATCATCGTTATACTAATTTTATTATTATTAATAATCGTAGGTCTTTTTTTATATATTTTATTTTATTGTTTTAAATATTATTTTTAGTTATTGCATGAGATATAATGCAGTTCGTCGTTTTGGAAATTGCCACTGCCAATATATCTGCCAGTATATATTTTTTTTTTAGTGGTATATTCCAATATTATCCCTCCGTGAAGCATGCTGTCTGACATAAACAGAGTTCTAATGTCTGCAATACTGCCAGATATTTATCGTAATTTTATTTTCTATGAATTTTTAGTTTTATATACTACATATATACAGATTTAATATATTTATCAATTGATTTAGTTAAGTAATAATATTTAAGGTACATTAACATGTGGAGGAGTCAACGAGCATGTAAAAACGAAAACACATCTCGTTATTATTATTATTAATTATTTATTTATTTATTGAGTGTCTCGAAAGATATACGAATTTATATAACATTTATTTAAAAAGTAAGAAATATTCTGGGGATATTAACTTAAAAAACAAAGTTACAGCAGCAACTATACATCTTTCTATACTTAATAGAAATACTGAATGAATATATTAGGACAATAATTTGAATCATATTCTTTGCATTATAACATTGAACCCAATATTCTTCATTCTTATTATCATATAATGTATATTATATATCTTCTTAACTCTTCCATATATATATTTTTTTTTAAATTCATGACAAAATTGAAGTGTGGGGGAAAAAAGTTTTAGAGAAGCATCGCTATTTTTGAAAATTTGCGAATGTTGTATCTCGAATTTTGATTATCATCTCCACATGTGTTTTTAGGGTTGTCCAAGTTTTCCTACAAGTCGATAATATCAAAAATATTTTTCTTCGTCGTATTTTTCTTCATTATGTATCCTAATTTTTTAGTTCGTTTAGGGCATTGGGAAAAAGGGCAAGGAAATATATTTCTAAGTTTTTTTTGTCTATTCTACTGATGAAAAAAAAACACACGAATTGTGTGATGAACACATTTGATATGTGAATGGGGACAAATTTTCTGTGTGCATTTTAACGATGCACATTCTCTTTGGGAGAAATTATTAATAATATTGGAAAACCGAAAGTGAAAATTGTTTCAAAAAGATTTCTACGAGCATGTTTTTACTCTTACTTGGGGTGACAACAACAAAATAATCATAATTGTTGAAATTATATTTAAGATGTTATAATAATTATACTACGATGAATCTTCTCTTGTGTAGCTCTACAAAAAAAGAAAGAAAAAAATATTTGTTATCTTCAATCGTGACGATATTTAATTCAAATCTTAAACTTAAGGACTGAAATTGAAAAAACTTGCTTCGTTTGGTCTCTCCACATGCTTGCAGACAGGAGACTCTGTTCTTTTTTTTTTCTCTCTATAGTTCAGTTAAGATTTAGGTGTTTTATATCTCAATACTATGGAACTTTTCAAATTAATTATATCTATGCAATAATATTCATTTAATTGAACAAAGTTAACATAGAAGTTATATATGCGATTTGTCTTTCAATATATTAAAAAATGCATAAAAATAAATTTTGAAATGAATTATAGGTTCCATAGTAAAATTACTTGCTGACCAAGCAACGTGCCCAATTTTATCAGACATATTTAGAAAATATATATTCTATATATAAGTTATATACTAATTTACTTCTCAATATTCTGTCGGGTTTTATGGCAAACTTTTTATTTCTATCTCTATCTATCTATCTATCTCTCTCTCTATCTCTCTACATAAACATGTGTGTGTGTATCTATAAACATACCTATAGACCATATATAATCCTAAAAAAATAATTCTTAATTAAATGATAGTCAATTTTTAGAGTCTGTAACAGTACGTAGAGTTTGCTTGGAGATCTTGATCAAATCTCCTTGCTTCTCATAACGTGTTCAGACTCTACACATCAAAAAATAATTATTTTCAGTATGTTGGGGTAACATATATCTATACACTATAATTATATACAAATCTAAACATATATAATATATATATAAACAAAAAAATTAAAAGTATACTTTTAGATTTAGCACTTGAATTACTTAATCATTAATGAACATGAGAAACATCTAATCTATCTGAAATATCTCATAATTACATAACGCATAATTTATTATACTATTTTCAGCGCGTATGAACATTTCCAATGGATGAATAAAAGAAATTTAGGTTTTTATAAGTATAACATAACACAAAATAATCTACTTTTTCTAAGTGATACTTTAATCTAATGAAAATAATACTACATCTTCTAGTAATATGATTTTAAAAAAATGCCTACAATCACATTTAGAAACCTATTTTCTTCGATTTAGGGAACAAACCTGTGTTCTACTAAAAACTCGAAGCTAAAGGTCCAAACATAATCTCTAATTCTAATAATATCACATGCCATTATTGTGGCTTCTTGTTTAAAATACATTTTTATGACATTGACTAAGACGATTAAATGACGTTACAATTTCTGGACAAATTCTAATTCAATATCTTCGTGTCTGCATTGGGCATTTGCTTGGTCTGATTAAGTAATCGATGTTTACAATAATAAAAAAAAAAATACGAAAACAATTTGAGAAAAAAAATGCGTACTTAAACGAGTACTTAAAAAAAAAAAATCATATCCTAAAATGATATGTAATCTCACGTATTCAAATACGCTTATATACAAATAATACTATATTATTATTTATTATTACTACTACTACTACTGCTACTATACAAACTACTACTGCTACTTATTATATATAAAAAAAAAAAAAAAAAAAAAAAATAAGCACGCTAGCTCAACATCTAACATTTGTTTTTTCCCCTTTCTTTTCTATGTGATTTGACGATGAAAATTGTGACGATGACCTGTGTACGCTGCTGTCAAACAAACAATGTGGATGCTCGACTTGAAAAAAAAATAATGTGCCATAAATCTCTCTATTTATGGTTACATCAAAAAAAAAAAAAAAAAAACATTCTTCTTGTCCTGTTTTATCTGAACTCTCACATGAAACAAACCACCAAAAAAATCTACAATTGTATTGTAATCGTTTAAACATCCCACGGGGTGAATATCTATCATCAACGTATGTGTGTGTGTGTGTGTTTGTGTGTTTGCGTAATGTGGGGGCTTCACACACTTTCACGGATGCTACTTCATCATTTTAACAAAACAAAATCAATCAACAAAATGACCAATTATGGATTTATCGCGTAAACAATTAATTCCGCGCGTGTTACGATTATTAATTGTTAATTACGTCGTTATTTTATATATATATACGTTTATATATATATATATATATAAAAAATATAAAAAAAAATCACATTCGATGCGAATGTTAGGATCCAAAGTCGTTTATGGATGCATACAATAACATGGATCGTGGTAGTCGTGGTGGTGGTTATAGCGACGATCGGGGTCAAATCATGGATTTAATGGATATGAGAGTAGATATGGGTAACATGGGTGGTGGTCGTGGTGGTAGTGGTGGAGGTGGACGCTGGCAAGGAAATGATCGTAATCGTCAAGACGATTATCCTAATAAAAGGAGACGTTATTAGAGATATTAAACAAAACATAAACGTATGACAAACATTTTAAAGGAACTGAAAGGATTTATTATTAAGGAAAAACAAAAAAAAACATACAAAACAAACAAAAAAAAAGATTAAAAAACACTTTAAAAAGTAAAAAAAAAAAAAACAAAAAAAAATACAACTATAATTATATAACTTACAACTACAAAGTTGCGAAAAAAAAGTATGAAAAGAAATTAATACCAGTAAAAGATTTTATTATTACTACTTATTATTACTTTATTATACTACTTATTAGATTATTAATACTATTATCTAACTTTACTATATGCACGTCAACCATATTCTTTTTATCTATCTTCTAACTTCCATATTTCTCTCTCTCCTTTTTTAATTTTTTTTTTTTTTAACATAATGCAGATCATCATTTTTGTTGTACGAATTCGTATTCGCTTTAATATTCTATTTTTTTTTTTATCAACAGTGTTTTTCTCTACCCTAATAGCACTAAATATTGAGGAATATTGAATACATGTGTATTTTAGATTTTTCAATATTTTGTGTTATTAGGGCCCAGGGGATCGGCAACCTGCGGCTCTTTAAAAATCGTTGAGGATTAGGCCCCGATGAATAAATAGATTAGTTTTTTTTTTTTTTTTTTAATCAAAAAGCTTTATTTTAGCAAGTATTATGTATTGTTAATAAGAAATAATTTTGAGGGGCTCTTTAAAAACTCTAAAATTTTAGAAATTGTAATTTTTGACTCTTCCAACTCAAAAGGTTGCTGACTCCTGTACTCTCTAGGGTATTTTCATCATTTCTATTCTCTTCTATCACATACATCATCTTTCTATCTCTAACCCTTTATTTTTTTTCTTTTTATAATGATTAGAACATTTGCATCACATCGTACAGAAACATATACATATATACATATATATATATATATTAAATATAAAATATAATAATTCGACGATTAAATAGAAAATATTCTTTATTATTAATTTATCATATCTTTTTGTTATATTATTTAACGAAATTTTTAAAAACGTGTTGATGAAAGAAATAACTCTTTTACGTTAAAAGTACAAAATTTAGGAAACGAAATAAAGAGTTTACTTTCTTCTTTAAATATTTTTAAAACTTCTATGTGTGTTTTGAAAATTAAGAAAATAAAAAGAGTCAAATGAAACATTAAGGGAAAAGTTTTATTAAGATTGAAATTAAATATAAAACTATAAAATGAATAAAATAAAAAAAAAATAAAAACATATTATATATATTATATACTTTGAAATAATTATGTGAGAAAGCTATAATGAGATAGATATTATACATTTATATATATACATACATAATACAGTATATATTTATATATAAATGTATTTGCCATTAACCAAATATGATTGATTATTCCATCAACAGGAAAAGTGAATGTCAGTTTCTATTTTAAACAAACACAACAACAACAAATTGTTTATGAAAACCATTTATGAAATAAATTAATATACTTATATTATTATAAATTAAGATTTAATTGTACTTTTTGTGAATGGCGGATTTGATTTCGTCGAAATTAAGTTAAACAAAATTATTCAGTCATTGTGAAAAAATGAAAATAATAATAATTATAATATAATGAAACAAATGAGAAAAAAATCATCATCTCTTTAAAAAAACCATCATTTAATGAATAAAAGTATACACATACATACAAAAATAATTTCTATGTGGTGTTTCTACCAATTTAGATATCGTACAAGAAGAGAATACACGCGGTTTTTCCTTATAAATGTTTACATAGTCTTAGATTTCTTTATTATATCATTTCATTTTTTTTTATTTTATTTTTTTATTTTTACAAATTAGAAAATTTGGTTGATTCATAGTTTAATAATATTTGAATAATTTAATTAATGATAAGAGAAAAAATATCGTGAAAATTTCCAAATTTATTTAATATTCCTCGTTCTAGATTATTTTTGTGTTGTGTGTATTATCTTCAATAATTATTTAAATAATTATTCATAATATTTTTTGTTTATCTTATCAAGAAAATGAAGGGACATTTGTGATATATTTACCACGAATTAAACGATTAATAATTAATCTTGATAATTAATGGTAAATCTGATGAGACACTTGTTTGAAGAAAAAACGATTCTACTTATTCCTTTTTTTTTTTTTTTTAATTTAGATTTAACATTGTTGTGGATATTAATATAATTATTTATTAATGTTCTTAACAAATGATGACGACTACTACTACTACTATACTTTTATCATACAAACGAGATTCTCTGATAAAGTTTAAATCTAATCAATTTTTTTTTCTTCCAAAGAAACCATAACATTAATATTTCCAGGAAAATCTTTTTAACATAATCCAACCCACGACAACATATATATATATATATGTATGCATATGTTATGTACAAGGCATATTTCTTTATAATTTCTATTTAATTTATATTATATTTTCCTTTTTTTTTTTTTTTTATAGTAAATTATAAAAGAATTTAAATATACATATATCAATTCTTTACTTGTTAAGTTCTATTAATTCTAATATAATTTATTGCTATTATATGTCCTCTTTTTTTTTTTTAGAAACACGATATTGAATTTAATTTTGTTTTGTTTTGTTTTGTTTTGTTTTATGTTTATTCTTTTTTATTTTTATTATATACTATCTAGGAAGAAGTATCGACGAAAAAGTAAAATATTAAATCCTGCATAACGTGTGATTTATTAACATTATGATTATTATAACTAATTATATCTATTTATATTTGATTATTTAAACAATTACTACTTATTCTTAAAAAAAAATATAAGTAATTATTATTAAATAATCAAATATAATAAATTAATCTGTTGTCATGTTTTTTAAAAGATGTAAACATTACTATAATTATTATTCAACATTTTGATTTATTTTAATACAAAAATTTGTATCCTCGTATAAAATAAATTTATATATAAAATACATAATAATAATAATATCATTTACCGCGTTATACAGGAATATATACTGTATATATTATAATTTATCAAATAGTATAGAAATTACGTAGTTAATTATTATTCAATTTCTTGTAAATTGACGTAATTTGTTGACGACACAACGTAAAAAAAAGGAACAATCAATTGAATCCTGTAAATACATAAATATTTAAACATTGTGTGCGATAAAGAGAAAATAAAAAAATAAAAAAAAAAAAACAAATAAAAATAATACGCGATAAAATAAAACTTGTTCAGTAAAGAAACTATGTGTGTGTGTAAATAATAAAACTTCAAAAGATAAAAATTTTCAACAAACATAAAACAAAAAAAAAACAATTTTTGTCTTTTGATGATAAAAAGTAGAGGAGAAGAAAAAAAAAAGATAAGAGAATTTAAAGTACAGCAAAGTATTAAGAAACAAAAGTAAAAATGTTTAATTACAATATTCAACGTTATCATTGTATAATTTTTAATTAATTATCAAAAACAACTTCTTGAATACTTTTTTCGTGAAATTTTATCTTTCACGAAAAAAATAATTAAAAAAAAAAAAAAAAAAAGAAAAACCAAAAAAATAAAACGAGAGACGATTACTTTGTTTCTCAAAGAGAAAGAGAGTATAACAAAAAAAAAAAAAACACCCTGCATTCAGATGCCCTGCGATTACAGTTACAACAATTCTACATATGCAATTAGTGTGTAAAAAAAAAACACACTGAAAGAATATTAATAAGAAGAGTTCTTTTAATGGAGGAGAGAAAGAAAGAAAGAAAGAAAGAAAGAGACAGACAGACAGCACTCACAAGATAGGCTTCTTACTTACTTGAAACTGCTAGTCACAATGTGAAACTACTGTCACGAGGTGAGTAGATTTTGATAACAAATGTTATTAAACATAATTTTTTATTTTTAACATTTCGGGTGGGATGTTTTTTATATCAGAAAAGAAAAAGAAATAGACGTTTGTGGCAAAAAAGAAACAAATAAACTATAAATATAATAAATAAGGAAATTAATTAAAATTATTAATATAAAAATATAGTTGTGTGTGGTAAAAGAAAAAAATCACTTCTTCTTATCTTATCAATTGTATTTTTTTTTCTTTTTTCCGCTTTTATTTACAGGAAAAAGCTACATTTGATTTAATGTAAAACAAATCTCTGTATATAATATACATAATAATATATGTGTATATTATATTTATTAATCGTTATTATAATAATTAATTAATTAATTAATTAATATTCATTGCCATTAAGAGAGAAAAATTACAACACAAAAACTATATTTATATTTTTAAAACTGTAATACTGAAATTATTCTAATGATACAAATATTATACTTTGTTATAAACTCTATGATTAAGAAAAATGATAATATTTAAAAAAAAAAAAAAAAAAAAAATAGAATATATAGCGAATATTTGAAAATACAATTTCTGATTTTTCATCAGCCTGGAAACTTGTTTCTTTCTACTCAAGATAACCGATCTATTATATATTTACTTATACTTTAAACAATGGTTGTCTGAGTTTTATAATTGTGATCTCTGGGCTGTGTGTGTCTTTACGAATGTGATTATTACTATAATATATTTGACTGAATTAATCGATTAAACCAACACATCGTCTAATTTAATTAATTTATGGGGGTGTGATATCGAAATTACGATTTTAGAAAAATAATCCTTATATATACATAAAGTTTATTATTCTCCATACATATGTATGATATATATATATATATATATATATATATATTTAAAATATATAATATATATATATTATACATTTTTATACATTTTTATACATTTTTATACATTTTTATAAATCCTGTTAGAAAAGATATTTAAAACTTGCCACAAATTATATGAAGAAAAATTAGAAATAATATATTCTATAATTTATTTTATAATAATAATAATAATTAATTAATTAATTAGGACGTTTATCGATGACAACGATGAAATTATTCATTAAATATTTAATATTTATGATGCTGTCCATCTACTAATGAAAAATAGTCCAAAAACATACTTTATCAAATCTATAAAACTATTTTAATATAAATATATTATAATCACACTGATATATCTAGATGATAATTATTTTTTTTTTTTTTATTATTTGAGTCATACATTTTAATATAATATCTAAAAAAAAAAAATATGAAAAATCATTGAAGTTTTATCGTTAGCTATTATCGTGATTAATTATTTCTATAAAATTATTATTCTCTCGAGAATATAAATATATTATATGAAATAAATAAATAGCATTATTTCTATTTGTTTGACGATAACTTATTATAATTATCTATGGTTGCAGATTATAGCAGTTGCTGTTTGAAGAAATTGTAATTCGATTTATTCTTATCAAGGTTGGTTAATTAACATAATTAATATTCTATTTTAATTGATTTATACATTATTATGAACAATTATTATATGATTATTTTCATTTACAGGTTTACTGTAATGAAGAAATAATGTGTGATATCAGAAACCACCTGCGACGATGATAAAAATTGGATCAAAGTAATTCAAAGTACGAAAAGGACAAAGTTTTTGAAAGAGTACGTATTTTTAAATAAAATAAAATAAATGTTGAGAATAATTAAAAACACATCTACTTATCTTCGTGAATAAAAATAAAATGAATTAGGTCATCTGTGCTAATAATGCTTATAAAGAATAGTAAAAAAAAAAAACATACACAATGACGAGTGTCTCAATGTTTTGATTTTGAACTAACACAACATTGATTTATATATTATTATGTGATGCACCATGAATATTATTCTAATACGTGAACACGAGAATAAGTGTATGTGTTGTATATACATGATGAATATTATCAACTGGATTTTTTCTATGACAGTAAATCTCAACGTGTTCTGATATTTTAACATATTTCAATTTTGTTATTTTATTGCAAGTGTTTGTATTTTTTTTTTTAAACTGGTATATTAAAATATATAAATGTTATTTTGTTTATAGAAAAAATGTGGAGTGAGTACACTTATTGGATCGAATTAATTAAGAAGAAACCGTGGATGTGATAGATTGCTTATGAAAATAAAGGTAAAACTAAATTGCATTCTTTTTATTTATAAATAATAAATTAATAAAGAAATGATGAAAATACTTTCGGGGCTGAAGCCAATGCTGACAAACCTAAAAAATCCCAACGTGTACAATTTACTGAATTAATAATCAAATTTATATTTATTATTTTAATTCAATATTATTACTTTTAATATAATGAATTATAATTTTGTTTAATAGAACCTGGGAATACTTATTGAGTTTACTAAGAGGAGAAAGAAGAAATCCTGAAGTTTCTAAGAAAAATAAAGGTAAAACTTAAATTGCATTCTTTTTATTTATAAGTAAATTAATAATTAAATGATGAAAATACTTTCGGGGCTGAAGCCAATGCTGACAAACTTAAAAAATCCCAACGTGTACAATTTACTGAATTTATAATCAAATTTATATTTATTATTTTAATTTAATATTACTACTCTTATTAAAATTTGGTATCATTAATTTGTTACAGATATTTCATTTGAATTTGTAGATTTCAACTGAATAAAAATGAATTATCCAAGACAAAGATTTATTTTACTTAGATGATACTAAGGTAAGTGTGTAGTTCGATAAACTAAATTGTTTATAATAAAATGTAAAGCACACCACAAATTCGCAATTTACAACTACAGTGCTATTAGGTGATTAGAATTTTAACTGGAATCTGAAATGTATCGTTTATAATAAATTATCCTTCATTGTGGAAGATGATAATTATATGATGAATAATTGGCTAGAGTCCTGATATTAAAGATGACACTTTACGTTCAAAATAACTGATTTAAAATATATCAAATTTACAATATTTCATACTTGATGATTGTGTTTCATATGTAAAAAAAGAAATTGTTACAGAAATGAAATATGCAAATGGACCAACAAAATCAAGAAATTTATATTAAGGATTGTCAGTCATGAAAGATTTTTGAAGACACTGCCCTCATTATACTTACACTTGGAAAAAACCAGATGCAGTTTAATTCTATCAAAAGAATTGAAAAAAAGAATGCATCCTTGTTATTATAAATTAAGAAATCAAATTGRAAACTCATTCTAATCTGTAGTTTTTAACATGTACTAAAATTTATTACTTTACATCTTTTTGGAAATTTGAAAACCTTRCTGTGTATCAATTAGTAATAAGTTATGCAAAAAACACTATTGTTTATAATTAAGAAATTGTCTTGTCTGAAAATTGCTTATGTTTATGAAGTATATAATGAAGGAAGTAAATAAAAATTAATATTATATCACACAAGTATTCTTTTTATTCGTATGCATTTGTTTAACCAAAAGTCTATTGTATACAATTTATATTAAAAAACTGATATAAACCTGATACCACCTCTTGTATCATCATGTGCTCCTGCTACTAATCTTTAATTTTTGTGACAGGAGGAAAACGATTGAATCCACCGGAATCATATGATTTCCATTGAAAATTGAAAAAACGTCGAAATTTTGACTGGCGGGTGGCATTTAAATGCTTTTCACAGTATATATAGATATATTAAATATATTAATAGATGCATTTTTTAATACTTTTTAACGCTATTTATTAATTCTTATAATTTTCTAATATAAATTGTATAAAATGGACTTTTGTTTAAACAATTGCATAGGAAAAAAAATTAAGAAAGGGCAAGGTATGAACATAATTAAATCCTTTCATTATATTTCTTCTTCTTCTATGTTTTGTTTTTCTTTATATATATATATATATATTTTTTTTTTATTTCGTTATTTTCAGCAAAGTACAAAACGTAATTTTCAGCTTAAAAATAGTTTTTAAATTATTTATCATTATTCTGGGTTGCGTTTGCTTTCTCTTTCTCACTTTCTTTTATATCTTTTGAGCATACAGGAGAAGAAATAAAAACAAAATGAATTTTTTTTTCGAAAATACATTGCCGACGTGATACTTATACAATCGTAATACATAAATACACATTCATATGTATATCCAACATTCGTAAAATAAGTTAATTAAGGCAACTCGTCTGTCTCGTCGTTATTATTATACACATTAGTCTTTTCTTGACTTGAATATATTACTATTCTCCATTGTATATCTATCATATATATATACAATCTTTTTTTATATTTTACGTAAAATCCTTATTATCTTTATAAATAAAAAATACAAAATATATAACTAACAAACTAACTAACTACCCCGACTAGACTAGAGCAAGCAAACGACTTCAAGCCAGATTTATACGTAATATTATTATTATTATTATTATTTTTTTTTTTTTTTCTTTCTTTTCAATAATTATCGTCGATCTCTTATTTACATAAAAAAATAATTAATTAATTCTATCGTATAGAAGAGAGGTACAGGTTGCGCAATATAATATCGCAAAAGGCGAACAATAAATTAATAACTTAAGATGAGATAAGATTGAGGATTAAGTAGATTAAAAAAAGTAACAAAAATTCTTCTTTTTTTTTTTTTTATCAAAAAAGAACGCGCGATAATTTATAAAAATGCGAACGATATTTTTTTTTTTTTTATTCTAACGATTTCGCGTATCACCTTTATATGAGCCTTTTACGAGTTACAAAAGTAATTCAATTTATTCTTAGAATTTTTTAATAGATTTTTGGTATATTAATGGCTCATATAACTTCATAGTACCTTTTTGGTTCCATGGTTTCTTTTTTTTTTGCTTATTTTATTGATTTTTTTTTCTTTACGAAGAACAAAATATATTATTACGCGATTTTTATATTCGATAATCGAGACTACGTTATATAAGGTATTTATATATGTATTTTATATTTAATATTTTAATCTTATTGCTCATCAATCTTAGCAGTCGGTTTGATTGATAAATAAATGTGTGTAAATATAACTAATATTGTGTTTTTTAGATCAGAGAGCAGTTTCTAGGGTTGGTGCACTCGGACTACGAACAGTAGTAACGTTTTGAGAATTAACGTGCTTCGGTGATTCTGATCTTGCACGAAAACGTTTGCCAAAGTAAGCACTTTGTCCTTGTCGATTATTAGAATTCGGTGTGCTGGCTAGAAATTGAGCTCTCGCCAATTGATTGCTCAATCGTCTGGATTCGATCGCGTTTACGGCATCTAATCCTTTCGAAGTTATTTGTGCAGAGTTCTGCGAATACTGTTGAGACATATCTGTATTATTATTATTAGTAGTAGTAGTAGTGGTAGTGTTGACAGCACTGTTTTCAACTACGGTAAAAGAAGATAAAACTTTAGGTTCGGTCTGTGCAGTTCTTTTCGGTGTGCAATTATCTTTCTTGTTATACGAATTGGATATCACGGAAGACAATCTACCGTCACAGGATTCAAATGTATTGTCCTCTTTCATCGTATTTCGTAGATTATTAGGTTGAGGTGGATCGTTGCCGAGATCCAATTGTCTTTTGCTGTTCAATCTCGAGATAGGCGAGGTATTTTCTGGGGACGGTTTCATAGCCTTTTCTTCAGCTGCCGTATCTTCGATAATGGTCGAGGACAAGACGTCAGTTCTTGGGGTTTGGAATCTCCATACCGATCGAGGACTCATTACTTTGGTCAAAGGAGTTTGCGAGAAATTGACGATACCAGGTGAATGCAGCAGTTGTTGGTGATGTTGCTGTTGTTGTTGTTGTTGCTGCTGTTGCTGACACTGTTGTCGAGAAAGTTTTAATTGTTCAGCTGCCGAGAGTCTTGTAGGTCCAACTTTAACGCTCTGTTGAAGAAGCAACCGTTTGAAATCTAATCGCGAAGTACTCGATGGAGAATGAATCGCTTGAGAAGTGGGTATCTGAAAGATGAAAATAATACAAGTGTTTTTACAGAAATAGAGATGATTATTCTTCTTCTCTTTTATCAATTATCTTACCTCAGTTTGTTTTTGAGATTCGGGACTCCAACTGTGTCTGTTACCTGGCGGTGTTTTAATAAGAGAATTCATTGAACCGTAAGGTGACATGTTTTCACTGTCATCTTTAATGTTCAATCTCTTCTTTGATTTATGAATCGCTGTGAACAGTTCCTCGTTGGACATTGTACTTTTGCTTGGCGATAAGATCAAATTCGTCGGTGTGTTTCTACCGGAAGAAGAGGAGCCTTGAACGGGTGTACTCCTGCCGGAAGAACTTGGTACGGGGGACGGAGAATTGGCAGTTGTTAAAGCGAGACGTTCGGCAACGGTTCGAGAAGATCGTGCTATAGGAGTGGATGATTCGAACCCATTACCATAACCAACACCGATGGGGGAAATAGAATCGTGATTTAAGAGATGCGTACTAGCCGGTGGCATCGCGATGGGTTCGTTGATGGGAGAGAAAGCTAAGAATCGATATCCAAGTGCGGATTGACTCAATGGCGTTGTGAATCTATAACAAACACAATTTTCAAATGAATTATAATCAATGAGATTTATTTAGTATTTAAAATTTGAATAAAACAAATCAATGATTAGATCGGTTATTATTATAATTGTCGATCCATCTCACCTATTTCTGACATCAACGTTCGGCGTTGTTTGCTGTTGTTGCATGAGTCTCTTCCTTTTCTCGAATTCCTCCAACTTCCTATTACCTATCGCGAGACGAACCTGGCCGGTAACCTGTTCGGGAACCTGCTTAGGAACCTGCTTGGTAACCTGCTCGGCAACGGACTTTCGTCCTTGTCTGATTAACATGTGCATTGCACTGAGGGAACCATATCCAAGACCTCTCGTGATGTCCGGAGTGACGCTTCGTGGTGGTTCGATTTCTCGTTGAGCACGTCTCGTGGGTAAAGTATAGAATCTCTGTTGATCACAGTGAGCCCTTCCGGCCATGTTAAATCCTTGATTCTTTGTATTTTGTATTTGAACCGGTTGACGCTCGCAATTACGTAATTGGTGATCACAGTAATTTCTTCCTATCCTATTCTGTTCGATAAACTTTTCATCGTCATTATAACAACGGTAATGATCCTTGCTGCTATTGTTTCGAGTACATGTATTATTTTTCTCATGGTATACACGTTTTTCATCGTTATTTCCTTGATTTCGAATTTCTTCTTGATACATTCTTTGACGATGATTACCTTGATTGGTATCCTTCGTTATTATTTCTTTGTACTTGTGTGATTTTTCTTTATCCCCTGGCACGGGTTGTGGTCCGATGTATGTTGCAGATTGTTGCATCACTAGAGATTCCGACGGGACAACTAAATATATACCATTATCTGAAACAACAAATTTTAATTATTAATTCTATTTTTATTTCATTTCACACTAACAACGTTTGTGTTTTGTGTTTGTGTGTGTGCGCGCGATATCTTTTTCTTTTTTTCATTTGATGCATGACACATATCACGTTTTAATGAAATATTGTTAGAAACTTTTCATAAAATTACAATTCAATATTAAGTACGTATTAATAATCAAATAATTTTCCATACTTTGTAGTATTTATTGTGCAATATATTGATTTCATTTATTTATTGTTACTTATCAAAAAATAGATAGATAAATAAAGCGCGTATCGTACTATATAATAAATAATAAAATCATATATGTGTTATAATATCTATGGGTTAGTGTAAAAAGCATAAATGCAAGCACGTTGCGGATAAGCGTGTAAGATAACGATAAATGTGAAAATAATTATAAAACATAAAACAATGACATGCAATACACATATATAGATATGCAAAAATGCGTTTTAAATGCATAATAATAATAAAATATATTTTTTCGTCATAATATACTCACAACAATTGATTGATTGATTTATTTTTCTTGCCAAATTATAAAAGTGCGTACTCACCGAGCAATGGAGCAAGGGAACATGTGATAGTGTGGGTGAATTACTATTGAAGGATGCCACACGTGCGTTAGGTGCATTCTTTTCTCTCTCTCTTTTGTTTTTCTTTTTTTTTCTTTTTTCTATAAAACTATAGGGTGTATATATGTACAGTGATACAACCAATTGAAAGAAATAATACGAGGAAAAGAAAGGGTTGGGAATTTGGGTTAAAGTGAACCTTAATCAGGTAAGATTAGATACACATGTATATATATATATATATAGATATGTTACGTTAATACATACAGAGACAGAAAAAAAATGTTAATAAAAAAAAATAATATCGCAATAATAATAAATAATAATAGTTAAGGGGGGGGCTGGTAAAAGAAAGTGAAAAAAATAATTAAATGCAATTTCATTCATTTGTTTGTTCGTTTTTTTTTCTTTTCTTTATCATCTTCATTAATAATGACGTTTCTATTCACATTATATTTATAAAATAGAAAAGATAGTTATATATATATATTTATAATACTATTCACATACACATACATTCTCGTAATGGAAAAAAAAATAAGAAGAAAAGAATAAAAGGAGTTCGTAGAAATTCGAGTGATTTTTTCGTTCGTTCGTTCGTTCGTTCGTTCGTTCGTTCGTACTATTTACAAAAAATACGCGTTCAGGATTATAGACACACATTTCGATGTTTTCTTACATATGAGCTTACTGTTTTTAGTTGTCGTTGAAGGAAAAAACCAGAAAAAATAATATACATATTTATAAAAACTTACATAAAAAAAAAAAAAAGAGAATAAGAAAGAGAGAAGAAGGTGGGGAAAAAAAGTAAAAGGAAATAAAAAATAAGAAGAAGAAGAAGAAGAATAAACAAAATATAAACTTAACTCTTTGCGGCATAGAATTTCAGATAATAAAATAGCATAATATATGAGCATGTGTAGCTATTGCAATAATATTTCGAAGGTGGGACTTAAAAATGTCCCACCAAATGTGCATTACGGTGTATCAAAAAGGTGAGACACACTTTTAATCTCATCGTGCCCCAAAGAGTTAAATGTTAAACGCATATAAAACACGAATAAGTATACATGATTAGAGCATGCTCCCCTGCCCAGATCGTAAGTACGTCCCTGTATATGTTCATGTGTGTGTCTATGCGTTATTTTAGTTGCAAAGCTCGATAAAACAAATAACACTAATAATTAATTATTCTCATTTTGTGGAGAGGTAGATAAAAAGCAACAATATGCATAATCCAAAAAAAAACAAATATATTTATTTATATATATATAAGTAAAAAAAGAAAATCCCTTTAGTAAATTAACTGTAAAAAAAAGGATTTCTTCATAGTTAGTTTAATTCGTACTTTTTAAATTCAATTATGTATATTTGTTTTTTCTAAGCTACTTCGACCACCTGTGAACATAATCATTAAAATTGTGCACGTAATAATAATATATGGGTGCAGATGCATGTAAAGGTGCTAATAAATTATTTGATACACAGCAGGTGATTTGTGATAAAAAAAAACCATGAAAAAAAAATTTTTTTAAACAAAAAAACAATAAACGGTGCAAATTGAAAAGAAAAGTTAGTTTTTTGTTAGTGCTGGACGATACTTACAAAAATATGGAGAGGCGAGCACGCAACATGAGCTTAACAACAACACATGCGATAATAAATAAAATACACAGGACAAATTTCAAGGCACATTTACAACTAATATTTCAGACTCATGCCCACGATGTTGTTTCTTCTCGTGATAGTTTTTTTTTTGTTGTTCGATGTTTTTTATTTACGATATAATCCAAATTTTTTGCAATATTTATCCCACCCCCTCCCCCTTTGCACTCGAAGTATTTTTTTTTATTTTTCATTTCTTATATTAACCAACAGCTCACAAAGCAATTTCAAAATAGATAAATCATATTCACATATTATGTTGTAAACCAGGGGTAGGCAAGAGCCTTTTGAATCGGAAGAGCCAAAAATTACAATTTACAAAATGTTTTCTTGCCAACAATAAATAGTACTCGCATAAATAAGGGGTTGCTGACCCCTGATTGTAGACTAAATTGAATTTGCTTTTTTTTTTTATTGTCTCAATAGCGGAACCCTCGAGTGCAAAGGGTTAAAATACAACGATATAATACAAATTTATGTATACGATTAATTATTATACATTACGATGGCGTATCGCGATAAATGTATTCTTCTATGATATACGAATTATCAAGTAAAAGAGAAATAGAAAGAGACAAGGAGAAAGAGAAAGAGAAAGAGAAATAGAGAGAATGAACTAACATCTTTATCACTTATTATACTAATTGTGTCAAAAAGACAAAAAGTAAAACGACAATTAGATTGACATTTACAAGCTGTATATTTTATAACTGAAATATATTTTTAAATAATTTCAACGAATTGTCAACATGGTAAATTTAATCTAAATAATAATAATAATAATAATAGTCACGCTATTTGCAGTCGTATTTCTTTCTGTCTTCAATTTGATTATTCGAAAATAAAACAAAAGTGAGATTGTTCATTCGCCATCGTCCATGTAATCGTTAACCATAAATTTAGCATTATTTTTATGTGTGTTTTATTTTTTTATTTTTTATTATTATTTTTTATTTTGAAAAGTCACATCGTGTAACACAGTCACGACCTGTAAATTAATTCGTGGTTGTGTTGACTTCGACGAAGAGGCGAAACTCAATTTTTCAAAATCTAATTGGAATAGAAGAAAGAGAAAAAAAACTTGTTGCAAGAAATTCGATACGGACGGTTAGTTCAGTAAAGGAAAAAAAAAAGGTTTGTCTGTTTTATAAAAGAGAACGAAGCAGTGAATTATTTCTAATCGATCAAAAAAAAAAAATCACAATTTTTGATAAATAATAACAAAACAATAAAATCCCACCAGAACGATAACGATAATCGATATTATCAATGTCCCTGAAAGAAATAAAATCGAATGTGAAAGATTATAGGGGAAAAAAAGGAGAGTAATGTGTGATAATCCAGATTCTAAAGTATACGTTTTGTGCTTTTTTTATGTTTATGCTAGGACGAGATTCTCTTTCATATTATATATATATATATACAGAGAGAGAGAAAGAGATAGTATGTATAGGATTTATCGAAGCTGCAATTCGCGTGACTGAAACGATGCACGCTGGGAACTCTGGTAAAAGTGCACTTTTATAGATAAGAACGCACGCGCCACGAGATTTTCCTATTTCTTGCTTTTCTTGTTTTTGTTACATTCCGTCATTCCGGTATCTAACATAAGCCGCAGTAGAATAAGAGACTTCTTGAAAAAGAAGAAGAAGAAGAAGAAGAAGAAGAAGAAGAAGAAGAAGAAGAAGCAAAAGTTCCACCTATCGGTGGAGAAGAAGGAAGGAAGGGAAAAAAAAATTAAATTTTTTGTCTTCAAAGAAGTCTCGTTTGTAACTCAGCGTGTTTCAAAGTGTGTGTGTAGCAGCTTCTTCCTTTTAAAATAGAAAACGAAAGAGAAGGTTTGCAAGAATGTTGCAAGATGCATTTATTTAGGTAAATATTTGTTCATAGTTTTTTTTTTCCTTTCTATCTCTCTCTCTCACCCTCTCTCTTTTTATCTTTCCGTCTGTTTGATTCTCTTTCGCAAGGATTTTTGTTCTTGTTGTTGTTATCCACGAGCTGCTACAATTCCATAGCGTGTCAATATAATGCGCGTTTACCAATGATAAGAGAAACAAAAGTTTGAAGTATATTACACTGAGATAAGGGAGAGAATTTATGTGTGATTATAGTAGTAAGAGTTCGCGTGGGTCGACTTGATCAAACGATGATGTCATCGATATCATTTCTAACAATTACGATGATCTAATGAATCCTCTATATATACACATTTATACTACATTTAATCAAAATATTCGTAATTGATATGATCTGTCATTTAAATCGTATGATTTTGATTAAAAATCTTTCAAATGATATTCGAGATATGTTAAAAAATTCATTTCTTTTCTTTCTTTTTTCTTTTTTTTTCTTCTTCTTCAAAATAATTTTTGTTCTTTTATTTTTCCTTTTAAATTCGCGCGAAAATAGCGGATTTCTTTTGAACACAACGTTGATATTGAATACGACGCGACGTGACCCGACTTTACGATGATGATAACTACCAAACGAAATTTTCCGTTGCCGATTAGCAAATCTTACGAGTTTCTCTATGTGAATATGTGTGAGAGAGAAAGAAAGAGAGTTTATAATGAAAGTATATATACATATATGTACGTATAAGTTTAAATGGGATACATCGTTGTCAAGATTTAGGATGAAGTTTATGTACAAATATGTACACATAATCATCATCTTTTATATTTAATCGGTTAACTTTAAACAGACATAGATAATTGTGTGATAAATCTTTCAATGTCCCCTCGTGAATATGTTATCTTAGATTTAACACGTAATATAAAAAAATCTTTTCTTAGATATGAGGAAATGAAAGATTACATTTTAATTTATACATGTATAATAAATAAAATAATAATAATAATGATTTTATTTTTTTTTTGTAAGGTAGCAGTAAAGGCTACTAATAATTATAAAAATAAAATGGATATGGGTTTCCATGTATTTTTATCAAGGTCTTTAAATTGTTAATCATTAAAAATCATCTTTAGGTGCATGTTGATAACGAAATACGTGATCTAGTAAATGACATGACATGACGACCAGACATTCGGGCGACGTTATGAAAATCTAAATCGAAGAAATGTGATAGGAGAGATCGATAAGAGAGAATCGACGACGACGACGACGATTATTCGCATAAACAGTGTCAATAGAAAAAATTCAATTTTTTGTTGAAGAATAGCCTGGAAAAAGAAATCAAGATCATTTCGTAAAAGGACACATTGAAATTTCGATTGAATAAGAAAAAATAGGTCGTGTTATTATAATTCAATTAATACGAAATTCGCGATAACTGGAGTTCATTTTAAACGACCATCAATTTTCGTCACGTTTTTTGACACGAGTTTTTACTCTTGCTTGATAAGGATGTGATCCGCGAAATCAAAAAAAAAAAACAAAAAAGAGTATCTTTCATAATTAATCTGTCACATTGAAATAGTATCAAAGAAAAATATTGACACATTCAATATCTTATAATATTTGTATATACACGCGTGTATAAACATATGTTCGAATTTACGAATTACATGAAACGAGTAGTTGCTGCTTTTAAAGAAAAAAATAAATAAATTTCTTAACGTAAAAAATGTGAAGTTCCCCTACTACCATCTGTGGGGGTTTGAAAGAGGGGTAGCCAATTGCATTTCCTTGGTATTGAATATCCATTGAAATTAAGAATTTACGACGTTTCTTAGCAATAAGATTTGCTAGAAGATGCGCCTATTGCTTGGTTAGTTTCAAACGGGAGGAAGGGAGAGGAAATATATTATGGTATACGGAAAGGAATAAAATTATGCGAATTTTCTTTTTTTTCTTGCCCTTTTTCCTTTTTTTTTTTTTCTTTTCTAGCGAGTAGATACTATCGGGTTAAAGATAAAGAAGAGAAGAGGGGAAGGAAGGAAAAAAAAAACGTTCCGGAAAGTGAGTTCGACGATTCGCATGGAATCCGCCTATGAAATTTGCTTTTTCGAAAAAGTAATAACAGTAAAAAATATAATTGTAATATTTTATATTAATTATAATATTTTTCTTCAATCATACATTTTTGCAATTAGTGTTTCTATGTATTTTTATGAAAAGTAAAATGTTCTATTGATTTTTCTTGATTTTAAATTTGTATTTTTGTTGAGATGTTTCGAAAATTCGATAGGAAACGATCATTCCATTTGTCATTTTAATTTTTTTGTAATTTTTGTATGATACATGCATAGACATAAACACACACACACAAACACATGCGAAAGTTTCTCTTTGTGCATCATCGTTTATTTTATTTGCTTATTAGTTATTATACGAGAGATTACAGTACTTGTAATAATAACTTCTTGGTCGTCTAAAAATATTAAAAGATGAAGAATTATTATTTTATTATGCCAAATGATGATTTGTTCGAACTGAGATCAATAAAGAAGGAAGGGTCATAAAAGTGATAGAAAACAATGAAAACAATTTGATGTTATGAATAAATGAATAATAATAACGTTTTTGAGAAAGTAACTTACTTGATCGTCTGGTAGCAATGAATAGAAAATGTCTCGCCAACATGTTTAAAATATTGTAAAATAATAGTGCGATCGTCGTCGAATTGGTTAAAAGCAAGAAACAGCTGTTCAACGGTCAGATTTGATAGGAACGAGTACCGAGACTGGCGGCTGTTTGTCTACCGAACTAAGTATTCCCCACGTTCACTGATTCACTGATTCACTGATTATGACTTATCGTAGAATTGCGCGGGAAAAATTGAAATTTCATCGGCACGGTTAAACAATAAAAGATTGTTTTATTACTCGTAAGCATCGGTACGATTTCAAAGTTAATCCGAAATTTTGTTATTTATTGTTAATAATTATTTAATGATATTTTTTTATTAACGTCAGGATGATTTATCTTGAAATTGTTGTAACCACTTATTACAATTCAGTTGATTTAGTTCTCTAATAGAGTTTAATTAGACTGAAGAAAAATAGTGCACGTGAATGTTAATGCACACGGTAATGCAACGAGTTCGGAAGATCGAGTTGAACTGAAGTCTGGTAAGCGGGTTCCAAGGAAGTATTTCTATCCCCACGAAATGAGAGGGGTTAAAGTTTTTTGTTTATCAGAACCTTTGGAATTATCAATTAGGATAAACATCGGCCGTCTGATGCAACTTCGTTTATTATTGAATCACCAGCTAATGACGTTGATAAGGGCTAACAAAGCTCCATTAGGGGCTCTCCCTGAAACTTTCCTAGCTTATAAGAGACCCCGAACTTTAACCCTTAGTCGTCGTTTACATTCCAACGGAAGATTTTTGCCCTATTGAACTTTGAATTTGGCGACAACTTTCCTCCTTTTTTTTTCCCCTCGTGTGAGTCATCAAACAACGCATAGTTTTTCATTGAAAGTAACGTTTATACACGAATTCGTAAATAAAAATAAATACGGGCCACGTTTTTTATCATGAATCTGGATTCGCCAAGTGTGTATAGAACTTGTACATATATACGACAAAGATGAATGAAAGTTATTCGAAAAAGTAGATATATATATAATTTATCTTTATATTAATCTTATAATAATTGGAGTCTTCGTTGGGGATATTTATCTATGAAAAATTTATTGATATAACTTTTGAACTCTGAAATTTTCCATAAATCGAACAATGAAACAGATCTATAGAAAATGACATTTATCTTTCTACGAAATGTTCAATACGAGAGGATTCATCAGATGAATGTGTGCAGCTTGCAGCTGTCCAGACTCGAACGTAATTATATAGAACTAATACAATGATGATTTATACCATATCTCTTTGCTTCTAACTTTTTACTAATGTAAGAGAGAAAAAGGAATCGTTAAATCTTATTATCTTGACCGTCGAACGGTTCGTTTAGCTCATGCATGATGCCCCTATCATCTCGAGACAATGACACTCGTCTATCGACACTTCCTTCTTCTTTGCATAACGCCAATCCCGAGATAACTTTGATAACTTCGAACTATACTTTCCGCACTAATTATAATTACATGTGTAATTGGTCCTTCTTGAGTCTTGTTTGAATTTTTACTGTATAAGGTAGTGTAACACAGTACGAATCATTTTTTATTAACACATGGAACGTACTCATTAATTTTTACCAAATTTCAGTGTCATTGCCAGAATATTCGAGAACTTTGACAGGTTGTAAATCCAAAGCTCTAGGTCTTGGGCTACTCGGTATTGTTATACCGATAGTCATAGAAATTTTTTTGTTAGTTTCGTAATTAATGTTAGATTCGATTGGTGGTTCTGGACTAGAAACCGTTTCAGGATAATTTATTCTTTCTTTCAACAATTCCTCGCGCAATTCTTCGGAAGGTGTGCGAAATATTTTCGACGATTTTTCATTACCGCTTGAAAATTTTTTGATAAACATTATTGGACTGTTAGCCATGCGATAACTTTCGCTACGTTTTACTTTACGATCAACTCTATCGTCTTGTTTCATTTTCTTAGTTGAATTATTAGAATTAGATTCGGAATTATTTGTATAATCAACGAGAAAATTTTTATTTATCGAATCGTTATCGTTCGTCATATGGAAAAATGTAGAAAATGTAGAAAATGTTTGTTGCTCACCGTTGATAATTCGTTCAGATTCTATCCTATGTTCTATTTCGTTTTGACCAATTATTTTTCTACAAAAGTTAGGAGTATCAAAATCGGAAATCAATAATTTTCTACTTAATTTAGGTGTGTTACCGCTAGGTTTTAAGATTTTTGGACAGAATGAAGAAGGTTTTTCTAAATTCTTGGTATTTATCAACTCGAGATTACCAGAGTTACTGTGTAAATTTAATTGTGTTCGTTGATTTATCGTTTCGATTTTGTTCAATTCGACAGGATGATTGTCATCAAAATAATTCGTTCTGGTGGGATCAAAATTAGTTGCTAACGCGACACTGCTAACACTGTTACTCTTTTCAAAAGCAAATGGTTTCGCGTCTTCATCGTCAGCGTCATCGTCATCGTCAGCATCATTATTGTCATCGTTATCAGATCGATTACGATGCGATGTTTCCAAATTTCTAATAACATTATCGGAGTTCGCCATAATCTTACCTTCGTCACCAGCTTGCATGTTGACGTAAGCTCCCCGTACTTGTTTGTGAGGACTGGTGGGACTCTTAGGACCCACCACAGTAGCGGGTGTTCTCACGTAATCCGGACTTTGGGCCCTGTCCGGGCTTTTCGCCGCCCGAATTATGAGTTTACCCAATTGTGGTGACGTAGGCGGTGACGTAGGCGGTGATGTAGGTGATGTAGATGATGTAGGTAATGGTGATGGTGATGGGGGTATGGGTGATGGTGTTTTTTGTTGACTGCTGTCTACGGTGTCGTGACTTTTGATCACTGCTCGAACGTTTGGCATTGCTCGACGCAATAATGGCGATGGGTTAGGTGATATTCCTTCTCTTACGAATGGACCTAACGTGATTACATATTATTTTTTTTTTTATTAATATTTATATTACTTAGTTGTGTACGTTCAGACAAATATCTTGCGAAAAACTTACCTGGATTGAAAGTTGTGTGAGCTCCTTTCCTTCTTTTCAAACTATCCGAAGAATAAACAACCTTGCCTTCAGAATCAAGAGTAACTCTCGCCCCCTGTCTCTTCCTTTCCAACGAAGAATCCGGTTTTTTGGGTAATTCACTGAGACAAACGTATTCCGCGTCTCTTTTGAATAAATCAGAATTTGCATAAGTGACAGGCGCAGAACGAGCTAAGGAGCTTGATTCCGGTCGTTTGTCGTTGTTGTTCCTCACGTCGGCTATTGTAACATAGTCGCCGGAGTCCGAATTGGTCAAACCATGAACAACCGCGTTCTTCGTGACGTGCTTCCTACCTGGAAGTACACCTCGAAGTTTACCTAATACTCCGCTCAACGGACTGATTTTCATTTGAGTTGATTGATGATTGTTCGTAATAGGTCTGTCATTGCTGTTGCCGTTACTATCCTGTCCATTGTTGTTGGTGGAAGATGGTATTACGTGTTGCACGGTAGCATAAAGGTTCTTATCTTGTCCATTGATCACTTCCATTTTTGAGGTACCAACTGTGGCAGACATCAATACCGATCCTGTTGCTTGTACATCATTTTTATTTCTAATTTGATTTTGTTTATCCGACAAATCTACATCTTTGACGTGTTCGTCATCGGAACATGGTGGTGTTATCACGCACATGGATGGTATCCTACTCGAATTGATAGCAGTCTTCGAACGAATTCTTTCAATCCTTTCACAACCCTCCAAATCACTCGACTCGGAATATTCGAATTCCGAACAAGATCTTCCGGTGCATGCTGGACTCGAAGCTGACTCGACAGGCGAGGAAGAAGTGTTATGACCACTGTCAGGTGATTCTCCACCGTTTTGATTTTCTCCATGAACCTAAAAAACATAATTAATATAATGAAACATAATGAGAAATAATTTTAATCGATTTGAAAAAAAGAAAGATTTAATTACCATAGCTACTACGGTTAGACTTGACTTTCTTTCAGGCGGTGGAGGTGCTAATAGGGCTGTACAAACAGTTCCGGCTGAACTGGTGGTAGTCGAAGTTGATCCTCGACCAAACAATTCGTACTCGTTTTCGATTATCGGCGAGGTAGGATCAGAACCAATGCCGTTAGTTTTCGTTAAGGGACTTTGCGGTAATGGTTCCTCTTCCCTCAAAGTTTTTAATCCAGAATCAACGTGGAAGGAAGTATAGTAACCTTCTGTGTCGCATGAATACACGGACGATGTCTCGCCGTCATCGGAAAATGGTACAACAGCAATATCTTGTATGATGTCGGGAGTTAAAGTTCCTTCCGAGGTAACCGAGGAAGATGCCGAAGTGTCCCTTCCCTTGAGACGTCTCGCGTGACTTAACGAAGTTGATGATGTACCAATAGATGCTGTTGTTGTAGACCTGTTAAATTTCATTCAAACATTTATTTTGAATAACCCCCTTGATGCATATTATGATAGGTAATAAAGATAAGATTGATCGATCACCTTGGTTGATGAGTCGTAGTTGTGGTCTCGCTTCCGATACTAGCTCTACCACTTTCCGAGGATGCGCTCCAATTTCCGGAACTTGAATGAGGTGCGTCATCGCGGCTGCTACCTTTCCTTCTTTCTCTTCTTTGTGCCGCACTTTCGCGAAGTTTAACGTTACCCTGTGCCCTCTCCGTACTCGACGGCCTCGATACGGTCATCGACGTAACAGGAATCGACACCGGAATCGACGAGGTACTTTTACCACTGGAACTCGACGAGCTCGGTTTCCTTTGGTGAGACTTGTCCTTTTTACGTCTACTGTTAACCGTCTCATAAATATTCGCATCATCCGTTGACGATTTTGATTGGCTTTGACCCTGTTCAGATCTGTTTGCGTTAGATTCGCTCGCATCTTGCAACTGTTGTTGCGAACCTGATTTAGTTTGACCACCACCGATCGACTTCAACCTGGACATTCCCCAAGCCTTTAAGGTATTAAAGTGGGATTTCTTTTCCGTCGACGTATCCTTTTTCGACGAACAACCTAGTATGTCCGTGCTAGCCGAACGATGTGCCCTAGGTGTTGTACTAGGCATTGCTTCTTCCGGCTCGTCTCCCGTCGTCGTTTCTCTGAACACGTAGATGCCAACGTTAGTTTGGAAAGATATTTGATTTATTTAAAATTTAGAAAAAGATTTGAAAAAATTGCATCTCGCAAAATTAATCTCACACTCGAGCACGGTGTAACAAGATCGATCATGGTTGGTGTACTGTTAGTACGATTAATCTCAAATGTGCTTGCATCGTTTTTATATAATCAGTGCAAGGAGGGATGGTGTTGGAGGACATGCGTGTTATTAATTCAAAAATTTTTTTTAATTATTTCAATAATACCTTGTTAAATCAAATTGTTCAGTATATTATTTATTAATTGGCAACAAAATCAAAAATAGGAACTTTAAATCAAAATTCAATAGAGATATTATACGAGCAGGAATTAATAAATATAAAAGATGCACACACACTTCGTTTGAATTGTTTAAAAAAAAAAAATAAATAAAAAAAGCATGAATGATATTTCACCATGTTCTTACCGCGTAACGGTGACAATGAGACATGCGAACCGACCAGTAGCGTCTGAATAAAGCGAGATTCCTTATCGTCAGTATCTATTTTCACAACTACACTTTTACCTTATCGATTCGAGAGAAGGAAGTTTTGCTTTTAACGAATAATAACAATAACCATCACTTACCCTCCGATAGCTTGACGAATTTCCTTTTGATCGGTGCCAGCTATTGTATTTCGTCTCTTCCCTCTTGGCCTTCGTGGTCTCGAACGTCTCTTCACGTTTGTCTCTTGTTGCATTTCAGGACCTGATAGCAAGGACCTTCTTCTCATTGACATCCTTTCGAAACCCCTTCCGCTCACATCCACAGCTACGATTTCAGCCGGGAACCTGGATTTTCATGATTCACGTTCATCTCATTTGTACATAACATAATTTATTTAAATACTAAGATATATATATATATCAGGACACAGAGATTTATTTGACGACTTGGTATACAACGACATTTAAAAAGAGAAAGTTTGCATTAAAAGAACGCACTTTGTTAATGTATATCCCTCTCTTTCTGTTTTCTAATTTTACCACGTAAATTATACGATACTATCGTCATCGATACTACTCGGATATTTTACCTCGGAAACCAAGAGAGAGAGAGAGAGAAGAAAGATAAATAGATAAATTTATCGGTCAACGTTAGAAATAATTAGAAATTTTGTTAATTAATGAAATAATTATTCGTCGTTATCAAAGAAGAAAAAGAGGGAGGAGGGGAGGAGGAGGAGGAGGAGGAGAGGGTATAAAAGTAAGGAAACACGTCTCGAGGGATAGTTAATTTTAGTAGGGTCCGAGTATCGAGTATCTTTACGAGGACATAAATCCAGTACTCACTTAAGTGCAACAGCCTGAACCTGTTCCTCCGGACTGGGCAACTTGTGATCCACGGCATCGTCGTCGGCCGTGTCTCCGAGGATTCTGGACATGCAGTCCGGTGGCACGGTGACGTCTCCCAGTGCTTCTGCTGATGTCCATCTTCGTAGATCTTCGATAGCAGCCGGCTAAAAGACACAGAGAGAAAGAGAGAGACAAAATTAGGTTTGGTGTGAAATCAAATGACAGAGAGAGAGAGAGAGAGAGAGAGAGAGAGAGAACCTATATTTGATTTTATATTTTAGATTTAAAAACTCAATAAGTAGTGATAGATGATGACGTTTAAAATCGAGTTGCTAAATTGCAAAATTCCGAATGAACTTTACCAATGGTTCTTAGGATTTATACTTGGAAATGGCTGCTACCTATCGTCACCGCGGGAGTCCTTTATCGAAGTTAAGATGAGAAGGATTTTACCGCTTGCTGACATCCCGTCAGTGTACTTTTTTCGTTTTTTTTTTTCTCTTGTGAAAGACAGAAACAGAGAGATAGAGAGAGAATACTCGTCTTGCCAACTTGAGAAAATCTTTCGAGAGAATATAAATCTTCTTATGATTCTTTTCTTGTCTTTTTTCTTTCTGTTCGTATCTATCGAATATCCCTGAGTTATTTTCGTCGATTTCTATCAAAATTTTCTAAACGATAAGATGATATTATACATGCACATCACGTATAGCTTTCTTCATTCCAATATATTCGTAGAAGAAGATATACAACATGTACCAAGGAAGATATCTCTAATCGTGTTGGATCGACGGATATTATGTAAGCAAAAAGGTAGGAAAGAGAAAGAGAGAGAAAATTCGAATAGTTCGAAGATGGTTAGCCTCGAGGGTATCTTACCAGTTTCTATGGAGAAACTCAGGTGAACGTCTATTCCAAAAGGATCTGTACTATATTGCTATGGGAATTACGATTTCGTTCAAAATATAATATATAATTCAACATCGAAAAGATTACGTTACGTCCCTTTTACGATACCATATGGTGGTTGTTCAGTGTTCCGAATTCAAAGCTAAAAACAATTCGAAAGCGTTCGTTCAAGCCGAAAGTAAAAGCAAACGTTGTTTTTGATTGGGTTCATTTTTTTTTTTGTTCATTGGTTGACTTCAGAGAGAAGAGAGTACAGTGTTTATCCCCCATTCCCTCTAATCACAATAAAAAGAAGAACTTTGGCAATACATACAGGGATGTACTTGGTTAACATTAAAAAGGTTTTATACATGTGCAAAAAAAATAGTTGCTTACGACTCTAGATTCGATGTCGAGACTTTGGTCCCGTCTTCTCTTTCCAAGAACGGGAGTGCAAAGGAACATATCCATTGAGCTGCCATCCCTTCTCAACGAATCCAAACTTCTGACAGCAACCACACCAGCAGCTTCGTACAACTCCTTGAGTGCCTTAGGTCTCGTGTTAGACGTGAACAATGCTGTCGATGGTTTGTTCGTAACATGAAAGTGTTCAGTTCGTGCCGCGAACGTGCAAATGTCTGACTCCGCTGTAATCAACATCATAAACAATTCAAAATTACAATTATTGTTTTGTTTTGTTTTATCTTATTATTTAATTAATAGAAGCATTGGTAGATCAGAAAATGAAGGAGAATTTTGTCCCACTTTCAAAATAAACGGACCATATGATGAAAGTTTAAGCATACGGTTATATAGTACATAATATAATACTCGTTTGAAGAATTCGACACCACGTGGAGGGCATACGTCAAGCGTATAATTCACGCCACCCGTGTCCCGTACGTAGGGAACCCGCTTTATTCAACATTTCCGGTTGTTTTCGGGAACGTTGCTTCCGTGACGGATACCGTAGCTTTAATTTCTTCAATAGTTTCACTGATGTTTATATAACTAATTGCTTATTCAAATCAACTATATTCGATTTTATTTCGTAGATCCAATCAAAATGTAAATTTAACAAAATCTACAAACTAAGTAATCGTTAGAAATTCCTTTTAATAAATATGCAAATTATCTAACCAATCTTCAAAACTCGTTTCTAGTAGAAATAACCTATTACGAAATTGACATCTTCAAAAGGTTTCAAATAAATTGTCTTCTATCCCTTTCTTGTATTCTTTAATTGCTGTCACTCCTACACGTTCAATGGTTAACGTTAATTCATTTCAGGACAATGCTCTTTCTCTATCATCAATAGCAAAGTTCCATCCATTATCACGTGTACATTATTGTTGTTGTTGTTGTTGTTTTCTTCTCATTTCGTGTTTTGTTCAATACAATAGAACTAAGGGTTAATCTGCATTGTTCCTAACATGCGATAGGGTCGTAGACGCTTTTGACGAAGAATTTTACATAGATTTCTCTCTTTCTCTTTCACACTCTCACAAACAGAGTCCAAGTGGTCTCTAACAACATCGACACGGTCCCGAGAGATTATGGATTCGAATCACGAAGTTAACTCACAAGCTGATTCAGCGAACTTGATATGCGGGTGGGTGATGGTGATGGTACTACCTAACATACACTTCTGTTTTCGTTAGAAACTGATCTCTATTAGTGGATTAAAAGCTACAGTTACACGCGCGTTTAACGTTCGGTGGTACTCGACGCTTGTAAGAGAAAAAGGTTGTGTGTCTGGGAGTCATATATCATTTCTGCTCCGCCTTCTTCTCGATGGATTTATTTTTTTCTTCCTTTATTTATTTCTTTTCTTTTTCCATTCTATATACTTATATTGCGAAAGTGTGTAAAGGTAGAAAAGAGGGTGGATTGGAACTAACCGAGCAAGCGATCGAACTATAAACGACTTCCGAACGGGGTTTCATTACACAAAGAGTCATACCTACTACCTACTAACGGTTCGTTACGACAAAGGTAGTAATATTCGAGGACGAAATGCTTTAGGGCATTTATATGCCACGGTATATAAACACGGAGTGTGAGATGCGTGCACGTTGAACGAACGGGGCCCGAAGCACCAACCAGAGACCGGACTACGAACCAGTCTGATTCGATACAATCGCCGCCCCGTGGAATATTTCTTACTAACCGTCTGTAACCTCGGAAGCTGGTGTACATAACTATAATCGAGAGAGAGAAAGAGAGAGAGAAAGAGAGAATGAAAGAGAAAGAACATATATATATGGTCGGCCTTTTCTCTTCTTCGTGGCTTTGGACGAACGAGATTGACCTTCCACGCAAGATATTCTGCAAGATCACCTCGGTGGGTGCAGTCCCACAAAGAATAAAAATAAAATTTACCGTCGTCTTGGAATAAAACCAAAAAAAAAAAAAAAAAA